TCTGAGCGTCACGAGAGAGACTCCAAGCATCACGAGAGCGAGTGAGCACGAGCATTGCATGCGAGAGAGTGAGAGGGTGTGAGAGCGTGTGTGCGTTCGCGAATGACCGAGCGTGAGTTGAGAAATTTCAAATTCTCCACTTTTTTACGGAATTTCAAATTCTACAAATTTAGTTAATTAAAATACTCCATAAAAATGATAGGATTTGAATTTCTTTCTAAATCATTTATCCAAACAAATCATTTAATTATGAAGTATTTAAAATTCTTTAAATAAATGAATTACTCCAAAAAATTACTCTATCCAAACACACTATAATAGAATTCCAAATGTATTTTATGTTCATATTAAAATAACAAAAATAAAAGATAGTTTGTCAAAGATATCAAGGTCACAACTTCAAGACCAAAAATTTTCACCTCCTCATAGAAGCAAAGCCTACGAAAAAACCAAGATACAATCTTGTTACCATGCTAGATCAAGATAACAACTTCAAAACAACCAAGATGAAGAGAGGTAAAAAGGAAGGTAGAATCCAAGAAAATCAAGACTTAAAAAAAAAAAAGGAAAAGCTAAAGTTTGACTCTCTTTTGTACTTTATAAAGAAAAAGCATTCATTGCTAAAATTTAGCTAGAATCTCATAATTTAAAATGATGTTGTGAATCACGGGTTTTAATTTCTAGTTTTTGTCACCATACATGGTCAATGGACACTCTAAAACGTTCACCTTCATTCTTCAAATATTTTAACTAAAACTTGATGAGTCATTTCCAAAAAAATTAAACAAATAATACAGCTAGGAGAGCAAGAATCGGAAGACATAACATATACTAAAATAACTCTCATTGCAAGAAGTATAAAACAACAAAAGCTTTTCATATATATATATGGATCATTTCTAGCATATATAATCAATCCAAAACAAAAATGTAATAAAATAAAGACAAAAAGGAAGCTAAATAGGAAAATCTAAATAAAAAAATTGTCATTACACTACATTATCTGTGAACAACTAAAAAGGCATAATAGGTTGTCAACATGAGATCCACTATAAAAATGAGAAAGCTGTAAAAAAATATTATCCATGAACAACAATTGTGCAAGCTAATTATAAAATTTATAAAGTAACTGACCTAATGGTAACATCCAAGTATTCATGGAATACATAAAAGCTCTAAACCTTGTCGCAACCCGAAAATTTTCGATCTTGCGACCTATGGTTTAGACATCCTTTTAAAAGTCTCATTAATTAAGGAATGCCCGGACACCAGACTAATCCTTAATTAATAGTTTTGAAAATAGGTTCATGGAGTCGCCACTAATATTTTACTCAAAACATTAGAAAAAGAAAAGGTTTTTAACGATCCAATAATGGCCTTGATAACCAGAATTGGGTTCAGGGGTTGGTTACGTGTAGGAAATGTATTATGCACCCTACAACGCCCTATATTGGTACCTATGATGAAATTAGAAAGATAGACAATAAGAGTTGATAAGAAATAATGAATTAAATATTAGATCCCCTTTATTAATAATTATTTACATACTTGAAATTTAAATAATACAGTTAACCCTAAAATGTCTACATGATTATTTTTATTATAACGATAATTATTATAAATAAGAAATAAAAACAAAGAGAAAGAAATTAACTAAAATACCTCTTGAATGAGCTCTATTGGATCTTCAAAATAGGGAGATTTTAGGTGCTTTGTGGCAACCTTCCGCACTACAATTGCCTCACAATACTCAAGAAATACAATAGGAGAGAGAGAGAAAAAAAGAGAGAAATTTTGAGCTCTAAGGAATGCTGGATGAAATTTTTGGGGTCCCCTGAACTGTGCCCGAGATTTCTTATTTATAGGCATCAGACGTGGGCCGGAACGGCCCGTTCTGGATTCGGAACGGCCCGTTCTGGATTCGGAACGACCCGTTCTGAATCTGAACGTTATGTAGCATTTTCATATCCTAGAACGCCCCGTTCTGAAATCAGAATGGCCCGTTTAGAGGAACCAGAACGTCCCGTTCTCAGGTGAGAACGACCAGTTCCGGGGTACAAGTTTTTAGGCCCTTTGATTGGTTTGGAACGACCCGTTCTGGTATAGAACGGCCCGTTCCAACCTACATTTTTCAGGCCTTTTAGAAGCCTCGGAACGGCCCGTTTTGACCCGAGAACGGCCGTTCCAGACTTGGGAACGGCCCGTTCCGATTTTGGAATGGCCCGTTCCGGGCCACTAAAAAAGTTAATTTAGGCTTTTCGGCCCTCTGATGTCCTATCTTGTTGTTTATTTGCCCCCCGGACGAAATTGGATGGCTACAAACCTGAAACATACAAAGTACATGAAAAGGTTAGAAATCTAACTTGCAATAACCAATCAAATTAATTAAAATTAAGAAGTTATGAAAAAAATTTACATCAAGAAATATGTGTTAAAACATAAGTTGCCTTTTTTCAATTGGAAGAGTTTTCACAATAGCTAGCTATTTTGGAGTGTCAAATAACCATTTAACAGCTTTTGCCCATTGATGTTGATTAAGGTTTGGTATCAAAGTTGTTTCAGCTAACACTTATTGAATAAAAACATCTTCATCAATCGTAATATCAAATGCTTGAACAAGTCGCTTTAAATATTCATCCACTTCTTTCAACGAATTAGCTATTCATCTTTTTCTCTTGTCTTTCTGATGGCATCCTCACTTGCATGAACTTGAGATGATCAACAAAGAATAGGACGCCTTCTCCAAGG